ACTTGGTCAAGTCACTTAACCTCAGTATACTTCATTATCTTTCTCTAATAAAAGAAACGACCATGGCCTCAGGGATAGTATCCAACAGGTCATAGTGTTGACATAGTTCTCACAAAGTGCCTGTAAGAAGGTCACTGCTATAGTCCCAGTATTGCAGAGGGGACAATGAGGCAGAAGATCCCAAAGCACGGTTTGACCCATGTTCCCCAGACCATGCTGCCATGCTAACTGCAAAAGGACTTTTCACATAAAGCAAATATACTAACACAGGATTGTCTTCAGAAGTTTATTCTGGAGACTTCATATTCTTCACGCAGTTGGAATTACTAAGTAAAACAGCCCACTATAAAAGCAGAGAGGTGATATATATGTTTGAAAGGAGAAATAACACTGAGTATCTGTTACAGTCGAAAAGTTTTTTTTCTGGTATCAGTGCAATTTTTTGGTATGATGTGAGAATTTTAAGATGTAGAGATTTGACAGTGGTTGCATACCTAAACCTTTATTGAAATCAGTGTTCAAATAGAGTAAAAAAATGTCCCTAATACAAAAAGTGTGAATTAAATACAGAGAAAAAGATTGCAGGGACAAAATGTTGATCATAAATTTTGTAGATTTTTGTAGAATGCTCTGTAAGTGAGGGCTTGCCATTTAAGTTAAGCCAGAAACAGGCATTAAAGGAGAAGAATCAAAAAACTGTGGCAGATGAGAAGCAGTAAAATAAATGAACTTCTCATATACACTGCTCTACCAGTCTCAGAACAAGACTGACATAGATAATCATATAAAAACTAGGCTAAAGCTTAGTTCAAAATTGTCTAAAAATAGGTGGTAAATGAAATTCATCTACACCCTGTATAAAAGAATTTCACAGCCAGCGTTCTGGAACATCTTTTTCTCAGGTGATCCCCAGACACTGGTTCCCAGCTGATGACTGAGGATTAGCATTGGTTGAATGAAAAAGCAAATAAAGCATTCCCAAGGTATTTGGGAGTTTCATGGCTTTTAGACAATACAGTTGCTGTTATAGCTCTTAGACCATCAAAGGAAATCTTTCCCCAACATATTAGCTTCTTCTGCAAAGCATGGAGAGGACAAACCTCTATCAAGAGCACATCTGTACTGAACAGTATGGGCTGGATCAGCTACATTGTGAACAAAAAATGGGGAAGAAGCTCAAAGCAAACAATTATATAGTTGCCTATTGCAGTATGGTACAACTACCAAATTACTGATGCACTATTCTTTGTGATATTTACCACTATAAAACACATTTTGAAGTTGGACTGTTTATTCAATGTTACATGAAAATTTCCTTTAAAAAAAACCACTATACTATTAGCTGATGAGTAACATGTATATGGCTGCTGCACCTAGGGAAAAGCATTTAGAATACAAAAATGATGTTGACACAAAAAAAATACTGAAGGGAGTTCTTAAGAAGAAGAAACACACAGTGTCTTAGTGTCTGTCACAACCTGGGAAGGCTGGTATGTGTAAGCCAGACTTATATAACTGGGGACATCTGGGGATATTTGGTCAAGCAAGAGTGTGCATCACAAGCATTTTTTCTCGGCTTCTTCAAAACACAGTCTATGCCTAAGTAGTATCAGACAGGGATTCAAGCCAGGACATGAGGGAAAGCTTTTCTCCCTTTTTTTTCTGAGAAAAGACCCTCTTTTTTCCATCACAGTTCAAGTGTTGTGAAGAATGACCTCACTGTTCAGTTGTCAAACAGTTCTTGAAAATTTCATTTGCTTTTTAATCTTAGGCACTTGTCTGTGTAAAATGCCTACTAATGCCAGTTCCTAGGCTAGTGGTAGTCTGCGTGAACTGGTGACAGTGAGGTATAACAGTAATCTATTGTACAGGTTTTTCACTGCGACTGAAATGCCTGAGTTATTTACCATTATGGGATTTTACAATATTCATGGCAAAGAAATTCCAGCTTACACAGGAATTGATTTTCAGGCACTTTTTCACTGACTTTCAGAAACTCTGCTTGCATAAATACTGTTGAATCAAGCCTAAGCTTGATATCACAATTTCGATTCCAGTTGCGTGCAACTTTTGCATTGGGCTGAGAGATGTAGGCAAGCACCTCTCTCTCATTTATCCTACAGCTGCTTCACAGCTCTCCAGCAGCATGGGGAGACCCTGTGAAACTGTCTGCAGAATATTTGACAGGTCTCAAAGTTTCCATTTTAAAATCTCTCAAAAACTTAGATTTGAATTTTGTAGTTTAACCTCTACCGCCGTTCCTCACATGCCTGATCCTTTCTTAAATAAGAAAATACGTTTTCAGTGTTGGTCTCTACTCCTCCACCAACAGAACAAAATCTGGAGTTAACACAGTGTTTCCAATGAGAACATGGTTTTATTCTGTATGAATCTCCTTCTCCTCTCTTTGACAACCCTTCTGTCTCTAAAAATTGGAGATCTATATCGTGGTATCTGTAAGAATTTGGTGGATGTCTGCAGGATTTCATATCCTGAAGGTGCAGACCATCAGCCTGATTTTAATCACATTTATAACAGATACAAAGCCAAAATCAAGGCTCCTATCTTTGGTTTCTTGTGAAGCAACATGCACTTAATGTACAAGAAAATAAACACTTGGAAAGCCCATTCAGTTAATAGTAAGAACTAATTATTTCTGTAAGTTTCCAGGATCAGACCCAGTTTAGTGTTTTACAATATTTTACTTTTTTTGTTGTTATTTTAAATATAAGTCCTATGACTATACAGTGATAGCTTATATGGTCATTAACTTGAATATACACATTGATTCATCTAGAGAAATATTAACACATGCATAAACATACTTGCTTATGGATATTAATAAAATGAGTCAGCTTTATTTTAGGAACAAGGCTTTTCCTGGTGCAAATGCAGTGATTGTCCAAATTGAAGTCAAACAATCTTTTCTTAAAAAGGCAGTCCAATACTTGAAATTGCACAAGGAGGAAAAGTTTATATAACACTAGTATATCTGTCTGATTTTGAATATAGTGTTAGATCATGCATGAGCTCGAAAAAAAATATATGCTTTTCTGTTGCAAATTGACTTTCTGAAGTTTTTGCTCTAGACTGTTGGGTAAAAAGTTGAAAAAAATATTTATAAGTGTTATTTATCGTATAAACTCTGTGAAACTCAGCACATTTATTTATCAATTTGATAACATTCTCTTTAATTCCAAAGTGAAGTGGCATTTGGTAATGAAGTGATTGTCATTTAAACCCTTTGTTTTTGAGGTGCTATTGTGTATATACATATTTTTTCCCTTTTTAAAGTGTAATGCCTATAGTATTACTATGTCAAATTCAGATGAATCCTGACAATCAACATTTTCACAATGGGAAATGTTAATATGCTACATTCCTTTCTTTGGAAAAATAAGAGAGATGATCACAGAAAACACATTTTAGTTTAATTATATCCTTTAGGTCATTAAAGTGATGTAATGTGCATGTCAGTCCTCTTTTCATCCACAGATTACTTTAATCCTTCATGTGCATTTTTTTTTCTCTGGCTTTCATTCATATTTGCTTTGTTTTGAAATTGCATGCTGTCTGGATTATTTGTGCATGACCTCCACATTAATTTCACATTGAATGTTTACATACTCTGGGAGATATTCATGGATCATTTATTCTACATGTGCTTTTTTTTTCCTTTGTTTTCAGTTACTGAACTTTAAATACGCTTGAAATGTAAAAGTGGCATGAAACTTTCGTGACACAAGTAGACAACTATTTTAATATTTTCAGTACCTAACTTCACATCTTTCAGAAATATATATTCTAAACCACATTTTATGCTCTGCTTCCAAAATGTAAGACAATGAATTATGTTCTGAAGCTCTAAATCTATTCCATTTCAGAATTGGAGACCAATACTGGTTATATTTCATCTGAGCAATGACAAATACATGGAATTGGTCCTTTAAATGAGTTAAGAAGGTCTCTGCTCCCTTGGAGGTGATCAGTTGCAAAGTTGGGTGTCTGGGCATTGGATATGTTCCATATAGGGAACAGGGTAGGCAACGTCTGATGGACAACACAGATCACTTCAGGGGAGCTCTATCTGCAGCTAAACGTAGGTGCCCTCTGGAAATGCCAGCTTCTCTCAATTGGCTGTATAGGGACCCTAATTCCTCATTTAGTACCTGAAATAGATGTCCCACATAGGCATGTCCTGCTTTTACATAATACAGTGTCATGAGCCTTTGCAACTGTCTATAAAGTCATAGGTTTTATCATGTAAAAAACCCAATTTATTCCATATTAATTCCCCATTTCAAGAATTAAAGTAATATACGTTGCTTCACATGCAATTAAGTGCTGCTTATCAGCAGAATTCCATCTCTAAATCACATAAAACTAAAAACATATCCAGAGGAACTTAATGAGTAAATATACATATATAAAATAAAACAAAGTATTTTTATTATATTATGCAAAAAATCAGTAAAACACACTTAAGACGTTGTCAATTAAGAAGACAAATAAAACACTGTGAAATCAGCAACAGTTACCAGAAAAAAAACCTTTAATTTAATGGTCACAGGGCTAAATTCCCATACATACTACAAGCAAATCAAAGGCTTCTGCTTCCGTCTTTACAGCCTATTCTTTTTGAGGCGCTTAATTAATTCTGTGCACAGTCTGCTCTGATTAAAAATGAGTGGCTCGATCTCAAAGCATGCTGAACCACCTGTAGCCCTTCATCTGAACAAGCCAAATACGATAGTTTCCAAATAAGGAGCTGAACGGTGTGATTTGAGACCTCCGTAATCAAATTGATCCAGTTTCCAGGGGCTTTGCCTTCAATCTGCAGACTTCAGCGCAGCCACCTCTGATACTTTGCAGCCGCTTGGTTTGGACTGATTTGAGTCACTACAGTTCTCTCCACTTTTACAAACTAGTTGTTTTGTCAGCATGAGTGTGACAACAATTAGACGTCCCTGTTTTTGCCCCATGCCTTTTCTCCTTCACAGTCATTCAATGACAAGCGTAAAAAGAACTTCATCTTTTCACGAAAATTCCCATTCTACAAGAGCAAGGAGCAGAGTGAGCAGGAAACAAGTGATGCAGAACGTAAGTAACCTCTTGGAGACGATGTCACATGCAGCAGCACAAAAAATGGGTGACACGCATGATGCCAGTATCCCACACATCTAGGCAAATAGCTGTCGTAGGCAGGCAGGAGAGGTATTACCACTGTGACCAATGTGTGACTGCAGTTTGGATCCAGCTGGTCCTTCCTTCCCTGGAAACATTATTTTCAGAAGAATAAAACAGTGACCTTAACTTTTGGAAGAGAAAATGTGGCACCTCAAAGTTGTTGTGGCCCCTGTCATAAATCCAAACTTGTCTTTGACAAAATATTCCCAGATCAGAACTGGCTCAAAATAATGCAAATGAGGATTTCTTTCACAATACTCAACTAAATTATTCCTTTTTAAAAGGTCTGCTCTAATCTCTTTTTTGCCTTTGACATTCTCCAAGTTGATTGCCATGGGCAGCCTCACTGAAAGTTAAACAATGAAATGGAGCGTTCATGCTTACAACTTAAAGTAAATCAGATCTTGGAATGTGTACCTCCCCAGGCATTTACTGCTTGCCTACATTGTATAGAGAACCAGCATTATTAAAAATATGTGCTAGTTCCAAGCCTAAATATTAACTTTTTTTTCTTAGAAATTCTTTCCTAAATTTATCCAGTGAGGATCATTTCTGGGACTTTATTTATTGGGTTGTTCCTTCTTCCTCACAGCTACAAAAGCCATGTATAATGGTCACTTCCTCTTTCATTGGCTGCATTCCCATAGAACATGGGCTTAAAGTTGTTTCAGAAAGAAAAAGCAAGGATCCAGATTGCTCAATCAACATGGTCAGTCATGGTAGTATCCATTTCAACTCCACTGACTTCTTCCTTCCTCTTCTGCGGCTGTTCTTCCTTTCTCATTGCTCTCTCTGGGGACTTCCGTGCAGGACATCCCCGGATTAGGTGACGACGGTTATGGAACAAAGACTCTGAGTAAGTTCCCAGGAATGGTCACTGTAAATCTTTTTTTTTTTGTTTTGTTTTGTTTTGGCTTCTGTTCCTTCTCTGAGGACCCTCCACTCCTAGCATGCACAAGATAGAGTTTTATTTGTTACCCAGCTGTGAATGCATTAAAAATGTTTCAATCATTTTGTTCTGCATGACGATATTAAATAACATACAGTGTATCAAGCAGACACTTTCACTTCTTTTGTAATAACACCTTTTGTTTCTGACAGTATGTTATTGTTCCCATCATGGCAGTTCTGTAGAGTAGCATACCTAGAACTCGTTTTGCTGCCTAGACTGTTCTTTTCAGCAACAATCCCTCCCTCTCCATCTCAAGGAAAAGTTTAACATTTTAACTCAATCACATCCTGAGGAGATCAATAGAAAATTATTTTCTGCTGTTGCTTCTGCATTTTCAGCTTTTTGCATGGGAGTGTTTGTTACTTTGCTGGATTTTAGATTAGTATTTGTTATTAACGGAAGAAGTCATTTGCAGGCTAGAGAAGACCATGTCTTCTCCAAAGCTAATTTTGGACCCATTTCACCATTAGCAACCTATTCTCTGTCATGTAACCTTAATCAATCTCTTTTTCTGATGCAGCAATCCTGTCTCAAGACTTGGCATTGCAGAATGTGTAATGTGTCAGATAATTGTCCAGGAACAATTTTGCTTCCTTGAAAGTTAGACGAGAAATATTGTATAGAGTGAAACATTTGCAGCTGATTTCTATATGCATAGCTACATTCTATTCTGTATCCAGAGCTAAATAATTTAAACAAAATGCCACCTGCATGTGTTTGGCTCCTTCTTCCTCAGTTCTTATTCTTTTTCTTAAGCACCAAGTAATTGGAGCAAACTGTGTGTGAATGTTAACAATGCATCGCTTACTGTTTTGTTTGTGCTTTTTAATTTTTTTCATCCATGCACACAATTTTAGAGATTATTCTGTTCCTGACTGATTTGTTGAGGGGACATTTTAATGGTTTAACTTTAAGCCATACAGTAGCTCACAATTTAAAGATGAAAGCTTCATCTCTTGTAAGAAGAACAGTTTTGCAAGACTAGTTTTGACAGTGATAGACAGCAAATGTTGCTGCCACCTGAATTTTATCCATTCTGCTACTTAACGTGTCATAGCAGCTCATTAGCAACAAATACAGATCCTTCCCTGCCTAAAGAGAAGTAGAATACCTCTGATCTCATAACCCTCCTGAATATCTGTGTCCTTACAAAGAAAAATCTCCATAACATCCAACGATTTGAAAGGAGATAACTGAATTCTGCAAATTGATGAGGGAAAAGTAACACAGAAGTATTAGACAGGCCCTAGTTTCTCTATTAATATTGCACCTGTCTTTCTCTAGACATTCACACCCATCCAAATTTCACTAATATTCAACTCAGATACCATTTTTAATGACAGTTCTTACTATGAAAGATAATTGTTCTTGTTTAATAAAGTTCTTCAGGGTCCTGTAAGCATATTAGTTTGAGATAACCCCTGTTAACTTCCTATGAAATGTCCAAGTCAATATACTCTTTTATTCAAAATGGGAGTTTAATTTTTTAAAGCTTCTTCCTGAACCCAAGATCAAAGTTTTCTATATTATTTTTATCAGATATCATCCCCTCTCATTTCAGCTGTTGCACTAACCCCATCAGTCCCACTCTATAAACCATTATATTGGTGTGTGGGGGAAACGCAGCACCTTGCAGAGAAAGGGTCATTTCAGCACTGTTCCCATACTCATTCTTCATTATAGCCATGCATGGTCTACTCCGAGTTCATCTCAGGGGATTCTTGGCTTTTATGAGTTCCTTCTTTCACTGGGAATGTTTTGAAGCTGTTGTAGGTGGGTGTTTTGGGTTGCCCACAGCCTAATTTGCCGACGGGTTTAGTGACAAATACTGGACCAATTTTGGCTCCTGGTGTTTGATGGGAGGTGACTTATTTGTACCCATTGTCCGTTTAAGCACTGTGTCTCATTCTCACTAACCCAGGGTGGCTCCCCACTGTATAGCCATTGTACCATTGGCGTCTAAATGTCCTGGTCCAGCTGAAAAGTTTCAGTCAAATGATCTTTCAGGTGCAAGGTATTCAGTATTTCTACCAGAGATACTATTAAAATCTGCCATTTAATGTGGTTCTGCAGACCTCCTGGAGACCACACAGCATGGTCTGACTGACCATAAACAGTCTGCTGACTATAGTTTGGGAACAGCCACTTCACACAATATAGATTGCACCTTCCTTTAAATAATGTGATAATAGAAACAGGACGCCAGACTTGCCAAACCACAAGTTTGAGCTATCATGGTAGTTCTTTTCATAGAATCATAGAATCACAGAATGGTTTGGGTTGGAAAGGACCTTAAAGATCATCGAGTTCCAACCCCCTGCCATGGGCAGGGACACCTCCCACTAGCCCAGGTTGCTCAAAGCCTCATCCAGCCTGGCCTTGAACCCCTCCAGGGATGGGGCATCCACAGCTTCCCTCGACAACCAGGGCCACTGCCTCACCACCCTCACAGTGAAAAATTTCTTCCTAATATCTAGTCTAAATCTGTCCTCTTTCAGCTTATACCCATTACCCCTTGTCCTATCCCTACATTCCCTGATCAAGAGTGCCTCCCCATCTCTCCTGTAGCCCCCTTCAGGTACTGGAAGGCTGCTGTTAAGTCTCCTCGGAGCCTTCTCTTCTCCAGGCTGAACAACCCCAATTCTTTCAGCCTGTCCTCATAGGGGAGATGCTCCAGCCCTCTGATTAATTTCATGGCTCTCCTCTGGACTCTCTCCAAGAGGTCCAGGTCTTTTTTATGTTGGGGCCCCACATCTGAACACAGTACTCCAGGTTTTGTCTCTATTCACCCACCCAGATTGGTCTGGTAAAGGTTTTCATACTCTAGCTCAAATCCTGAGGCTACGCAATGTCTGGAAAAAGATTTCTTCCATTTTTTTAGTTTGGTCATTGGCTTCATCTTCTTTTTTTTTTGGACAGAGTAAAATACATATAGTTACCATATTTGATAATAAAATCATTTTAGTGTTAATTTGTTAACCCTTTGAGTTACCATATTTGATAATAAAATCATTTTCATGTTAATTTGCTAACCCTTCTGTTTAGTGCACAGTGATTAAAGAAGGACACAGGTTACACTAGCAGGAATAGTCCCAATACATTAATGATGCACCTTACTTATAGTGCAGAATAATAAGAGAAGACACTTGGGTTTTGTGAAATTAGTCAAGATGCCCAGTGAGATGCAAGTGGACCATACTGTATTTTGAAATTAAGTTATCTGAGATGTCATTAGCTATCTCATCAAGACATGGCTTTGCCATGATGCATATCACCATCTAATATGTATGGTCTCTTTCTGAAATGCCACAAGAGAGAAAGCTTTCATTTTACCTGTGTAAATGATATAAGATTTTTCGGGTGATGTCACCACATAGTTTTTATTTCCTCTCTGCACAACCTTTGCATGACTGTGGCAGTCCTTTTAAGTTTCTGCGGCTCTGTGGTGCTTGGTTATGTTCTTTAATTTGCTGTACTGTTCTTGCAGAACATGTTTCTTCTAATGCCAGCGATAGTGAAAGTAGCTACAGTAAGTTACTGCTTTCATTAGAGTCCTTTTACTTTGCATTGCTTGTTCTGTTTGTTTCTTTTATTTTGTTTCTCTCCTTGCTACTCTTTCGTTAATATTAAAAAGCCGGTTGGAGCAAATGGCTTGGAATTCAAATTTACAACCACATCTTGAGTACAAAGCAATAAAAGAAAACTGCCAACCTTTATAAAAAAAGGGAGGAAGGTTGTTATGTGGGATGTAGTCTGGGACATAAAACCAAATCTGGCTTTGGGTAGCCTGTGAAAGTCAGAATTATTTGGTTTAGTGACAAGAAGTTTATTTCAGCAGGGAGGGGGCAGTTTCTTGATGATCTTTTAAGAGTAAACTTCATTCATAGCTGTAGTCAAATCTGCAAAAGGCGCAGTTTCTTGATGATCTTTTAAGAGTAAAATTAATTCATACCTGTAGTCAAATCTGCAAAAGGTATTCTCTTTACAAGGTCATACTTTTTACTTGCATTTCTGCATGCCTGTATGAAGGGCTAAGAAATAGTCACAAAAATTTTGCTGAGCCCTTAATTTTGGCAGTACAGGTTTTCTAATGCATATTGAAGTCTTAAAAAAAAAAAAAAAAAAAAAAAAAAAGGTAAGATAGACCTTCACCCTTTAGGCACTGCCACTGAATGTCACTGATTCCCTGTAAGTGGAGGTCCCAAACTTGCAACCTGATTTGGTTGGAATTACAGACTCCATGCAGTCATATAGCCAAGAGGCAGATTGTACGTTCTGGGTAATTACTAGTAATACCCAAAAATTCAACCAATATAATTATTTTTCTGGAAGTGTTGGAAAGCAAAAAAATAAGGCATTAAATAAATGACTGGAAATGTAATAAAAGGTAATTAAAATGATAGATTGCTTACTAAATCACCCAGCTGTTTAATTTTTTCAAGCCATTTGCTTAGCAAATCAAGTTTTCCACCAGTCACTCAGCACTTGTGCTAAGCACCCGCATACATTCAGGTAATCATTGGTATCATACCTCATATTTACTAGTCTTGATATAGTGCATAGCAGTTGAGCTCTGTTAATAAACACTGGTTTGTTTCAGTAGAACAGATAATCTTATGCAATTCAGAAATGGTAAATTAGTTTGTATTCTCTCGTATTGCAAAGGTTTCCTTGGAAAGCAATTGCCAGAGTCACAAGAAAACAGTAGGCACTCTTGAAGTGCCAAGATCCAATTCTGAAACACTTCATTTACCTACCAAGGAGGAGAGGAGGATTGTATGTTTGAAATCTAAGATGCTCTTTCCCCAGACTGACTTTACAATCAGGAATGAGTCAATAAGTTACATTTTCAAAAGTTTGCATGAGTCAAATCTCCTCCAGGTGTGTTTATTTCGGCGTGAGCTCAGGGTAAAAGCCCAGAAGAGAATCTAGGCTGGTGGCTGAGCACATCCCATGCCTGACAAACTGTCCCAAACAGGAGACTTAACAGGGATGCAGGTGAACATTTGGGGCAGGTCCACAAAAGCTCGTTCCCAAACTTCATCATAAGACAGGCCAAGTAGCCAATTCCTCGTTGTCTGTGCAATAGTGCGAACAAAGTGTATGTTTTGAGGTGCAAGAAAAGGGATAGAAGTGGTTTGAGGGAAGTTAGTTGGGCCACAGAAACTTGGAAGGAAAAGTAATGTTGGGGTAACAACTGCCCACGGCAGGCACTTTCCTTTTAGGGTGGTTTCCATCTGGGCAAGCTCCTGTCTCACCCCAGCAGCATCCAGCCTACATCCTGTTGGCTGGAGCTCCCCACACATTACTGGTGGGTCCAACAACTGCTGCCTGGTGTACAAGATGCAATCAGGGCTTTTTTCTCTGCCTGTGGGAGAGCTATGCCATTGAGCAGCAGGCAAAGCCATTATTAGGTTATGTCCATTGAAAGTGGCCTTAAAATCCAGGAGCTGGTGCCCAAAGAGCCTAATTTTGTTTGCTAATGATTCATTGGTGTGTGTTAATATGACATTTGAAGTCATGAACTTGGGCAACCAACAACTTTGGTCACCGGCTTTTGGAAATCAGTTTTAGATGGCCATGGTGGCATGTCAACTCTAGCCTGACTGTGTGTTCAGTTACTACATGGCCATGGTATATCAGCATATCTCCTGTGGGGACTTAAAGCCCTCCTGAGCCTGCTGGTTACTCTCTGGATCTCCAGGCTACCCTATGCCAGGAGTATGTCCCATCACATGGCTCATAGCAACTCGCCCCTAGAAAAATACTCAGGAGCAGAGAAGAATCAGACAGAGGAGAGTGAGAAGCAGACAGTGAGAGCAGTCAACAAATTGTAAGGGCATGGAGATAAGTGAGATGAGGCCTGCCATGAAGAAGTTGTCCTGTTTCACTGGGGTTCTGACCTTGCAGGACTGTTGAGAGAGGATGCTGCACAGTAGAAGCCCATCACGTGGGAAGAGTAATTATCAGACCTACTCAAGCATTTCCTAAAGACATATTCCTCACTGCCTTCTAATTTATTTATTCCTAAAGAAAGGAAAAAAAATAGTAAGTGCTTGGGGTAGAGCTCATTCCTGGTAGAACAAGACAGAGTGCAGTTATTTCTGCTCTTCTTGTTTGCCTCTGGGGATCTGGGAATGAGGCCCAACGTCAGTCACTGCCACAGAACCAAGTTTGTTTTAACTCCATTTGAAGCCAGCCAAGGTGCAAAGCTGTTCTTCAGTGCGATGTAGTGCCATTTTGAGAAGTATGTGTATTGACTTGCAAACTCATCTAAGAACAGGAATAAAAAAGAAAAAAAAAAAGTTAAGTGGAAGAATTCATGGGGAGCAAATAGGAAACTGCTGGAGAGCTCAAGGATTTTGCATGGGGTTGTGACCCTGTCCCAGTGCCCATTTTATCTTCTGTTTCCCAAGCAAATGAGCAGGAAGAAACGGGTTGCTTGCCCCCCTGCTTTCTGAATTGTGGGAAATCAGCAATTCACACCTTGGGCAGTAGAAGGAAATGCCTGGCAAGTGCCACCTGTTCTCCTGCAGACATTTATATTTGTCCCTATAAAACCAGGCCAGCTGGAGTCCAGAGTGAAGTGTTCTGCATTTTTTCTAGTGGGTCTCTGGCAATTGCTTTAATATGTTTGTTCTAACTTTTGCTTCTCATGATGAGCATTTAGTGAAAAGTAATTAGTGTTGAAACCTGTACTACTTAATCATTCCCAGAACCATTCCAAACCAGCAGTACAACTACACAAGGTGATGTTGAAGGCTTCTGAGAGCTGTCCAGGCTGTGCCCTGGACAGTATTTAATAGAGGGGTTACAAATTGACTGGGCTTTTTCTAGGAGACATTCTGATGCATTCATATTTATTTAGAAAACTATAGTGCTTAAAAATTTGAGTATCCGGCTGAAATATTGCTCATGTCTTGGGCCTGGGGGTTAAAAAATCAACTTCTCTACAGAAGTCACTTGCTTTTTATTTCAAAATAATAATATAATTGAAAGGCCTCCTGTGTGGTCTCAAGAGAAAATTCTTTGACCACTTCTTAGTGACAAGGCTGGTGCAGGTACTAAACCTGATTTCTTCTGCCAGTGCTCTCAACACTGGGTTTGTAATGAACAAAAGAGCTGGAGCCAACAGTGGGATTTTCTTTGTCCCAACAAATAACCTTCACCTCCATTAACTTCAAGAGAAAGCACAAATATATTTGACAGAAGAATCTGATCCTGTATAAAAAAATTGGAAAGTATTTTTGAGCCAGGAACAAATGTTGGCCTGAACAAATAACCTTCACCTCCATTAACTTCAAGGGAAACCACAAATATATTTGACAGAAGAATCTGACCCTTTAGAAAAAACGGGAAAGTATTTTTGAGGCAGGAATAAATGTTGGCCTGATCTAAAAGGGGCCGAGCTGCCACACATCTGCTACTGCGTCATATTGGCCGTGCTAACGTAAGGCTATAACCATGTTAGTTGACTTGCACCTGTTCTCAGCAGTAAAACCAAGTTTGCAGAGTGGTATGTAAAGTCTTGGACTAGCAGAAAGTTGCTCTTGCTGCGATAAGGATACATACAGCCAACTTTGACTTATCCCTGAACCAGACAATCAAACCATGATTGAAAGTTTATTTTGAGATCTGTAACTTAAAATCTTCTGATTCCTTTTTCAAGCCAAGCTTGTAAGAGCATATTTTTTACTGTGGACTCATCAGTTTTTATTTTGTGAGACATGATTTTTTTCATAATGGCCATGAATTTCAAGTCTCTCTCCTGCGTATGTGTGGTAATGCTCTTACATGCAGTTCAGTAAAGTCTCCTGCGTATGTGTGGTAATGCTCTTACACACAGTTCAGTAAAGGTTTTTACAGCTGTCATCAAAATTGCACACACATTACCACATCTGTTTAGCCTCATTGCATAACTGGTTGTAATTGCACCAATTACCTAAAGAGGCAATACATGACTAAAAGTTAAAAATAAGGAAAATTGTTAGAAACAAAAATTTTTGCCCTCTGTCAGCAAGTCAGAAAGTCACTCTTGTAATGAGATTTGAAGACTCAGAACAAGGCTAAAGGAATCCTGATTATTATGTTAGGCCACTGATTAATTATGACACTTACATTGGCCCTTACACTCCCCAAGCATTACTATATTATTCAGGCACACTCAAATTGGCACAAGTATTGAAGCCTCATTTTGTGCCCTCACAAGCCATATTGATCTTAAACACCAAGTGCCTATAGACAACTTTTCATCCATAAGTTCCTCCTCAAACTACTGATAATCTTTTTATGTATTGGATTTCCAGCCTTTCACAGCTATCAACATATTTCCAAAAGTCATGTGTTTACTTACATAAATAGAGGTCCAGGAAGGGGATTTTGAGACAGAGGTTAGGATATTGACTATTCAGTGCAGTCTGTGCAGATGAAACAAAACAAGAAATTGATTTCTCCAAGATCTTGCAAGTCCAGCTCAGGTAATCTATACTTTAGCCCAAAACCAAAATGGATGGCTACAAGCCTTCTTTGGTTTTAGATCCAGATGAGTAACAAAATTCAGGCAAGGGCTCAAAAATAAAATTAATTTGTAAATCTTTTAAAAAGTTGAAATTAGTAGTCCTTATGAAAGTCATCTGACCACACAAAACCTCTCAGTCCAGCTTGTAGAGGCGGTAAGTTGTAAAATACTCCAGGTTACTCTTCTCTTCCTGAGCACAAGAACTCGCCAACAGGCAAACCAAGAACAGAGGGAACCAGAGCCATAGTGATCCTGGGAAAGTGAAAGCCATCCAATAATTTTACTCATAAGAATATTTGATTTAGGAAAGCTTCCTTTTTCTTTCTTCTCTTTCTTCATCTTCTTTCTTCTCCTTTTGACTTTGTGGAATTTTACTGAAGAACAAGGGATCATGCCAAAATTCTACAGAAAAGGCTTTTTCTTTTTTCTCTTTTTGTTTTGTCTGTTAAATTCACAAAGAATTTTCCAAGATCAATATAGCTAACCTGTGCTAATTAAGCCATTAATGTGGGTGGTAAATGAGGCTTAGTCAAAAGATAAGATTTTTTTTCTGAATTTCACACTGTGTCTCACACCTCAAAGCCATCACAAGGTTATAGCAATCCAATTATTGACTGATTCTAGACCTCTTCATTATACTCAATACTTTATGGACTACTTCAAAACTGTGCAGTACTGACTGAGCAGAGATCATTGAGGAATATTATCTGGTACAGTTAACATGCTTATTAGCCTCTGAGGGACTTATAGGATTTTGTCTGGACAGTACTTAGAAGGACTTTATTCACATGGAAACTTGAGCTTCATGAGTCCTTTTCCAGAAAAGTAAAGTAGTGGAAGTGGTGCAGCTTTCCTCCATGCTCACACCCCATGTGAGTCTGAAACTCAGCTCTGAAGAGTCTGCATTCAGGAAGATGTCTATCTTTAAGCTCCTGTGTACCACAGTCAGACTCAAAGTTTCTCCTTACTTGCTGCAACCTTTTCCAATGGCTTAAGTTTCAGCACAGTTTGAGTGGGCTGGAGTTTTTATTTTGTCTTCAGCATGGCCACAGTTTCAAATGACTTCTTGTGACACAGCAAGCTCATTTGTCTCCGTAGCCCTTACCCTACTGAGAGCACAGATGTAACAACAGCTTTAGCATGTGGGCATATCTTCCAGAGAGTGGGCAAAACAGAAGGTGAAATCTGTGGTGGCTTATTTGTGCTGGTTATAAGTCCATGCCAAAGCTAAATATTAGCACCACAGAGACATTTTTAAACAATATAATAGAATTATAGAACCATAGAATCACAGAATCATAGAATGGTTTGGGTTGGAAAGGACCTTCAAGATCATTGAGTTCCAACCCCCCCTGCCATGGGCAGGGACACCTCCCACTAGCCCAGGTTGCTCAAAGCCTCATCCAGCCTGGCCTTGAACCCCTCCAGGGATGGGGCATCCACAGCTTCTCTGGGCAACCTGGGCCACTGCCTCACTACCCTCAGAGAAAAAAAAAAAATTCCTAATATCTAGTCTAAATCTACCCTCTTTCAGCTTAAAACCATTACCCCTTATCGTATCACTCCACTCGCTGATCAAGAGCGCTCCCCATCTCTCATGTAGCCCCCTTTCAGCACTGGAAGGCTGCTATAAGGTCCCCCCAGAACCTTCTCTTCTCCAGGCTGAACAACCCCAACTCTCTCAGCCTGTCCTCACAGGAGAGGTGTTCCAGCCCTCTGGTCATCTTCATGGCCCTCCTCTGGACTTGTTCCAACAGGTCCATGTCCTTCCTGTGCTGAGGACCCACACCTGGATGCAATACTCCAGGTGGGGTCTCATGAGAGCAGAGTAGAGGGGGAGCATCACCTCCCTCAACCTGCTGGTCACGCTTCTTTTATTGGCTAAATTTCCTTCCCTCAACCTGCTGGTCACGCTTCTTTTATTGGCTACTTTCCTTCAGTTGTTCTTGTCATTGTCACTTCCATGGGATTCTAGCATTTAAATGCAGATGTCTGCCTTTGACCTTGCTTTTTAAATGCTGTTATGGGCCAATGGAGACAAACCCATCCTTCTGATTTTCTCCCTCATCCCAAAGTACACATCTAAAATAGGTCAGATGACTCATGTCTTAGAATAAGCACTTGACTATTTGTAGTCACCCATAGACTCTAGAAGGTACCTAGGGACTAGCTCAGACATAAGCACTCATGATACAGGTTTTTGAAATTAGCTGAAATGAATCCCCTGGTGCAGATCTGTATTCCATTGAAACTAGTATTTTCAAGCTTACAGTTGTACTCATACAACACACTCCCCTCCATGTGCTTAGTACAAGATGGCTTCATTACCCATCCCAAGACTGACTTTCTCAGGCTGTTGAAAAGCATCACCTCGACTCCTGGAGGTTGGAGGGCAAGCAGTGCAGGAGCATTCTTGTCCAGCCTGGTGAGTGAATTGTTTCATCTCCAGGGGAATGGGACATCCTAAGTTTTAAATCAGTCCCAAAATTCCCAGAGAAACTTAAGGGAAAATAATAAACCTGATGTATGAAACCCAGTGTAACAATAATTCTAGGTTTTTAACTTTGCAAAAAACCAAAGTGATTACAGTAGCAAACATTTGCAAATAGAGAAGAAAATCCATTATCCACACTCCTCATATGTTACGTTGCCTTGCCCTCAAAAGCTCTCTAATCTCTTCCTTTGATTAAAAATTATGTTTGCTCCTTTGCTGCTTCAGCACTGTTGCTAGGTTGGAGTTGGCCCTCTTTTCTAACACATCAGTACAGTTTTAATTTGCTTTTGGTGTCATTCCCTCTTTTCTAACACATCAGTACAGTTTTTAATTTGCTTTTTGTGTCATCGTCCTTAATTACAACACTCTTTTTACTTGAAAGGCTTTTTTACACATTTCTCTTAGCTGCCTAAATAACATATCAAAAAAAAATATCTATCAATATATTAGATAACTCTTTTTACTTGAAAGGCTTTTTTACACATTTCTCTTAGCTGCCTAAATAACATATCAAAAAAAAAATATCTATCAACGTATTAGATACATGGGGTGGGACTCAGTTTAAGACTAAACCACAAAAGGTTTTAAACCTATTTGGGAGCTAGGCATTGCACCCAATACAAATCCTGTCAATATAGTTAATGGAGCCTCAAGAGGGACTCAGACAGCAGTCAGATTACTTCAGGGTGAGATGTAAGCCCCTTCTAGATCCTACTGATGTCATCCATCAGGTGTCAGGCAGCACTTTTCCCCTGTACATGCACACTTTCAATTGTCAGGAGCCCACCAGCACAACGTAACATGGGCTCACATGCGTGCAAGCAGATGAAACGAAGGCAACCCTGTCTATTTTATAAAGCCCTGCTGCGCCTTATGGCACTCTTTCTTCTGTAGTATCTAAATTAGCTGCAAAATCCCATCTGTGGATCTTCTCAGAGACAAGGTCTGAAGTGTGTAAAAATAAAATCTTAATTTTAAACTTTGCTAAGACAAAGTCATATTTAGAACCTGCCAGAGCCCTTATGTGGTACCGAGTATGTGACAGTGACCCAGAAAGAGAAATGTGCAGTAATTATTCATGCAGCAGGTTGAAGCATCCTCCCCTCTCTCCTCTTGCTCTCTCATAGAGGAGAGGACAGCGACGCATCAGGGCTGCACCCAAGTCATGGTCCATGTAGTGCCACTTGTTTCTCACTGAAAATTTCTCTGCTTTAGTTCCCCAAATGTCACCGTGAGGAAACAGCACTGTCCTAACAGGAGTGGAGGGAGGATAAGTGCATAAAATATGATGCTGTGAGATTGTGTTCAGGGAAAGGATAAGGGTTGGAAAATAGCTCATAGCTAGGTGTCAGGCTGTGAATAAACTAGACATTGGAGGTTATGCACAGAAGGACAATCAACCAAAATGTATATATTCTGAGGATAAAAATTGCTCAGTTTAGGTAGCCTGTGGATCTGCCCTGCAGCAGCATGTTAAGGCTTTAACAATCGGACAAGCAAAAAATTGTGTCTTAAATTTATGCACTATCCTTGTAAACAGCCTTGCTATCAAATCAATAAAGGAAGCCTTATTGCCCATCATTGAAAAAGCCCAGTTTCAGCAAAGATAATCAAAAAACATGGCAGGGGAAGGAGGGGAAGGAAAAAAGTGATCTCCACACTTTAAAGTTCTGAGGGACTTTGGAATGGTTCAGGTGAGAGCATTAGCAGAGAGAAGTGTTGAAGCCGGTCTGTCTATGTGAAGCATTTTATCAAGCTTTAGTACTCGACGTGTTGCTTATCAGCTTCAATCTCTTCTCTTTCTTCTCTCATCAGGAGGCCAAGAAGACTGCATCCTTTCTTATGAACCTGTCACAAGACAGGAAAGTAAGTTTCATCTGCTTTTCTGTCACTGTTCCTCATCTTTTTCATGTCACATTTTGGGGGCCGGCAGAGCAATAAGCCTTGCTGCACCAGCCCCAGATTCTGTGGCTCCTTTTTCTTGGCCACTTGATCTATCACATACAAAACAAATTATTTCAGGGTCTCCCTTGGTAACCCCCACTTCCTAAGGTTATCAGGGCTCTCCCCTGTATGCTCTCATGGCCTTACTAATAAATACATTAATCAGGCTACAAAATATTGATGCAGATTTTATAGATTTACTGCAATATCGTTACATGAGAAGCCTTTATGATTTTCCTTCTCATGAGATATGTGTCTCTAACCATGGAATATCAACCTATGGAAAGGTAAACAAAAAATGGGAGCGCACCCACCGAGAGGAGAAAATTTTACAATCTCCTTTCCATGCCCCACGAGAGAGTTCATATCAGCAAGCATTTGGCCATGACCTTTTTGAGCAATAGCAAATGCATATACATGACTACATGTGCATGCATCATCACAGAGCTCTGCAAAATGAGTGGTACTCATTCCATGTTCCTCATCCATATCAATAAATAAATTATTGATCAATAAAATGTACAGCTAAGTTTTCACTTCGTACATAAAGGCAACAACTCTGGTTAGTGCATCTTTGGGAAGATTTACTGTCATTGCCAATAAGATCATCAAAATGTGCCTTTCTTTTTGTTGTTCAGTTAATTACACCAGGCCGGTTATTATTCTGGGCCCTATGAAAGATCGGATCAACGATGATTTGATATCTGAATTCCCTGATAAGTTTGGGTCATGCGTACCACGTAAGTATGATTTTACTCTTTGTTCTGCAGCTGAGTGAGCCGTATCCCTTGGTGCTATACATTAAGTGAATTGCTGTGAAAGCAGCATCCATGAACTATCTGCAGTTGAGTTTCTCAAAAGCCATTTGCCCATTGGAAAAAAAAAGGGGAAAGGAACAAACGAAAACAGATTGTGAAGGTCTGGAAAGAATTGCTCACAAGAATTGTCTCAAAAGCAGTAGCACTTTTTAAAAGAGGTAGTCATCTAGCCACTAACTCAATTTACTCATCAGTTAATCTGTAGTTTCTTAAATAAGATAAAAGTTTGAAACACTGGTAAAATGTAAAATGTTTCGACTTAATTTTGCAGCATCAGTTATTTGTGTGAGATCTAGACTGTCTAATTTGAAAGCAATATTGGACCATGAATGAAGCAGTGTGATGCTCCAATGATCTTGGATCATTAGAGCTTGCTGAGTGTTTATTTCAGACCCCGATTGAAGTCTTACTTCATTTTAAACTGTTGTCTCTGCAAATACACCAGCTTCCAAACGCTAGAGATGAGATCAGAATCAGCCTTATCATTAAGGCTAAATTAAATTGATGAGATTGTGATTCATTTTGTCCCTGTAATAGGATTAGATTTACAATCTGGAATGCATTTTGTATCTGGGGTTTGTGTGCAAAAAATCTGGTTTTTGAAAAAAGTGGAATTCTGGTAAATCCTAATGATATGTTCGCCTGTAAGTATTGATTGGAAATAAACATCAGAAGGAATTACTTTACAAAGACAGCTTTATTGTCATAACTCCGTTGAAAACATAATGTAGTAGCCAAAGTTCCTCTCCCAGATGCAGAGCACCTCCACTTACAGCAGCACTGCCCACTGAGCAAACCTTAATTGCTGCATTTTTTGCATTAAATGTTTTTAGAGACTTCTTGATCTTCTGTCTTTTTCTTTGATGCAGATACCACACGACCAAAGCGTGACTATGAAGTGGATGGGAGAGATTATCATTTTGTCATTTCAAGAGAGCAAATGGAAAAAGATATCCAAGAGCACAAATTTATAGAAGCTGGGCAGTACAATGATAATTTATACGGAACTAGTGTCCAGTCTGTGAGATTCGTGGCAGAAAGGGTATGTTGGCACTAGTTTTAATGCCCATGCAACATGATCTGTTTCATTTCCACATTGTATCTCAGACATGATTCTTCTGACAAAAATATAAACTATCATCTGCTAAATGGCATCCTACTATTTATAGACTTTATAATGACTCCAAAAGTGGGGTCTCTGATTTCGAATGACAACATTCTTGGCACTTTCTGTACCTGGATGTAGTGCCATGGATTCAGGGATGTAACACAGTGCTTCAAGTATGCCCCAAAACAGCTTTTCCTCTTCCCTCTATAAGACAGGTAAATAAACTTATCTCACTTTCACAGAGGTGAAAGAATGAAGCACAGAGAGATTAAATTACTTGCCTGGGGTGACACAGGGAGTCTTTGACACAAACACGAGCTGAATTAACCAGCAAGAATGTAGACATCATATTACTTTTATGAACTGATTTTCCTCGTCTTTGAAGAAAATCCTCTTCCCCCCAGCAAAATTCATCTCAGTAAAAATAAAAAAACTTTGTTCCCCTATCTCCAGAATATATTTTATATTAGCACAAAAGCAAAGGAAAGAGCACAGAGGAGCAGAGCGTGTGCTCTGGGGTCCCCCTTCTCTGGTGTGCCAGTAATGGCCCGGTTCCAGGGTAACAGCATCGCAGAATGTTTTGGCTGATCTGCAGCAAACACTGAAAAAATGAACACATCCTCATCTGTTTCCAACAGGGCAAGCACTGTATACTCGATGTGTCAGGAAACGCTATCAAACGACTACAAGTTGCACAACTCTATCCCATCGCTATCTTCATTAAGCCTAAATCGTGGGAGCCTCTGATGTAAGTATAAACTCCTTCAGGCGTTTAATTTTCAGGGTACAGTTCCAAGTGGCACAACACAGGTCTTGAGTCAGCATTCTGCCTGTCTTCTAAAAGCAGTAATAATAAGAGGAAGGGCAAACGGTGGAGACTTGCTCTCTCTGCCTGCCATCCGATGTATCTCAGCATCTCAAGGAACGAGCCAAAGCTGCCTTTGAACCTTTCACACCAGGACACATGTGTTTACGTGCTGGATGATGATGGACTCCCTACCAGTGCTCGTTGGATTTGTTCCAACCTGTGCACCAAGTTCACCAAGGACTCGTGCAGCATGGCTTGTCCCATCCAGCCTTGGGTGCTCTTGGGGTGTACAGTCTGGTCACAGTGCACACATGGGTGAACCAGAGGGTAAAGCTCTGTTGGACTTGCTCTGTGTATCTTAGTTAGCTCTTCATCTACTTGAAGGTATGTAAGATGATAGGCAAGAGCCCCCAGGACTGGAGAGGGGCAAGCATAACATTTAAGGAAAGGGAAGGCATCAACTTTGTACTGTCACCAGGAAACCTGACTTCAATACTCAGAAAAATCTGGAGATCCATGGAACAGTTAAGCAACTCAAGTATAATACCTGAGAGGATAAAAAGTTTATAAGAGGTAGCAAATGTATGTGCATCAAGAGCAAATCAAATCAGTCTTATTTCCTTCTTTCATGAGATGGATATAAATTGCATTGCATCTTGATTTTTATTCTGGCTCCATGGGACATTCTCAGTAGCAGACTAGGGAAATACAATAATAATTAGGGAAATATAAAATTAGAGAATTATAGTCCTAAGGGAATCACTAGAGAGCACAACCATACTCAGTCATTGAACATGGCACTGTTAAACTAGAAGGGTGACAGAAACCCTTCAAGTGTATATCCTGAGCTGTGTCACCGTTTGGGACCCCTTGTTCATTAATTATTTGAATGATGAATTGAGCAGTAGTTCTGTAAAGTTTGTGAATAACTTGAGGCTGAGCAAGGTGGCAAGCACTTTGGAGCACAAGATTAAAATTCAGCGTAAAATCAGTAAAATGAAATTCAGCACAGACAAAGGAGAGAAAATGAAATGTGCGGGTACAAGCAGTGAATAATTAAGCCATAGCACTGCAAAAAAGCATCTGGCGGCTGGAATGGATCACAGAGGAATATGAATGGATGGATAATGCAGTTGCAAAAAAGGAAACCACCACTGTGGGCTTTATTAACATCAGTGTTGTGTAAGGACACAATCAACAGTTATTTTGTTTTATTGGGTAGGGATGAGGCCTCAGCTGTAGTGCTCGTCTGGTTCTGGGCATCACCCTGGAAGTGGAAGAGGAATGGGGGTAACCTAGTGTCAAGGATAGAATGCTGAGAATATATGGTAGTGATCTTCATACTGGGTAAAGCTCAGAATAAAATACATTGTGATCAATTGTTTTCCATGGGGATGCAAGAATTATCAGCTTAATTTGCTGTGATAGGGATGAAATTTTGAATTATGTGCCTTCCCCTCACCAGAGGCTCTGCAAACACCAGGTGATGCCATAGGCATGCGTTACACAGCTAAAATGTAGGTAGGCATCCCCCTCCTGTGACAGATGCATATCTGGTTCTGGTAACGGTGTGCCCACAAACACTGGGTCCCACAGCTGGAGTCTGCCAATGTGTCCCATCCCATGATTAAACGTGCATCCTTCCTGGCCCTTCCACAGGAATGCATCAAGAGAAGCATGGCCAGCAGGTCGAGGGAGGTGATTCTGCCCCTCTACGCTGCTCTTGTGCAGCCCCACCTGGAGTACTGCATCCAGCTCTGGGTCTCCCAACGCAAGAAGGACGTTGAGCTGTTGGGGCAGGTCCAGAGGAGGCCACAAAGATGATCAGAGGGCTGGAGCACCTCCCCATGAGGACAGGCTGAGAGAGTTGGGGTTGTTCAGCCTGGAGAAGAGAAGGCTCCAGGAAGACCCTATAGCAGCCTTCCAGTACCTGAAGGGGGCTACAGGAGAGATGGGGAGGGGCTTTTTACAAGGGCGTGCAGTGACAGGATGATGGGTAATGGAATTAAATTGGAAGAGGGCAGATTTAGACAATATACTAGAAAAAAATTATTTCCTATGAGGTGGTGAGATACTGGAACAAGTTGCCCAGGGAAGTTGTGGATGCCCCATCCCTGGAGGGGTTCAAGGCCAGGCTGGATGAGGCTTTGAGCAATCTGGGCTAGTGGGAGGTGTCCCTGCCCATGGCAGGGGGGTTGGAACTCAGTGATCTCTAAGGTCCTTTCCAACTCAAACCATTCTATGATTCTATGATTCTGTGATGATGCGCAGTATGTGCTACTTGCACAGCCCCATCCTGACCAAAGCCATCTGGGTTGGATGAATTGTTGACATTTCTTCCAGCCCTGTAATTCAGTTATATTCTGATTATCTTGCTGTATAGAAGGGGAAGGGTGGCCTGATAGCCTGCCTTCTGCATTTATTGTTTTAAGATAGATCTTAACCTACAGTTTTCCCATTGATAAAACATTTCCATTGTTTGGTTAATGCTGACATTGCATCTGAAGTAATAAAAAAAAAAAAATACTTAAATAAAAGTGACCCTTAATCTGAAAATACATTAGATGACCAGAAATGTGGCAATAACATAAAGGCTTCATTGATTTTATGTAAGAACAGCAAATCCTTGAACAAATTGACCAAAAAGTGTTACAGAGATGCAAATTATTATGACAATCATCCTGTTATTAAACCAAAGCAATGCTAATATTTCACTTAGGACAAAACAAGGTATGCAGAGATAGGAGAATTTTCCTTACTGATATAAATAAAAAGTAAACTATTCTTTACTCTCCAAATCTAAACCTGCCTCCGTGTTGACAGTGTGATGGGGACAAACAAAGTGAAATCCATTATATGACTTTGAATTCCTTGTTCTGCAAATACCCTGTAGAAGACAGCCTTAATTAGAAATCCAAACTTTCACAGGACAGTAGAAGTCCTTATATATCAGTACTAATTTGGGATTTTTTGCAGTAATACGACTTATATAAATAAATTATGGAAACACAATACAACTCATATAAAAAAGAATAAAATTGTAATGAATTCAGGCATTCTAAATTAGTTTACCCCCTACAGCCTGCTCTCCACGAGTAATCTTTTTATCTAGTTAATCTATCTAATGTGTATCTATCTTATCAAAATTAGTTTTTAACAGAAATGAGAACTCTTTTAATATAAACTATCTTTCTTTTTAAAGAATTGTCTTGAGAATAATGACGCAGTCCTGAGCCTCTTGCTTGTGAAAATAATTTATTTTACTTAGTAATGAAGATAAATCACTCAGGGTCTGACATAAGCAGTAGTGAATAGTAGGGTGTGCATAGATTAACAGATATAACCCTTTTCCAATAGAAGCTATTATTTTAGTATGGAGAAGTTTAACATGGTAAACCAGTGCTCTATGGGAACAGAAAGAGGACTTTTTTATGACAGCCTAATTGCATTCACTTGGTCTTTTTTTATGTATGTAACTATGACAACACAAAAATTACAGGAATTACATCAGCATAAAATATGCTTGCAAAGGTTTATCTGCATAACTATTACTCCTGTTCATATAAATTAGTTGAAAGTTAGTGTAATAGCAAAGTAAAACCATAAAAGACAAAAAATTGCAAATCAGAAGATGCAGAGAAACAGACAGATATAACTTGCAGCAAAATTAGCATTTAAAGTTGAAGGGCCTAATTCTCATTTACACATATGCTCATTTGTACTCAACCAACAGTGAAGGCAAGAAGAGTGATGGGAGCATAAATTAAGTTTGCACCTGCACTTGGTGATTGCTGGTTCTCTGGAAATACCCTGCTAACACTAATGACCACAGCAGTGCAAGACTGTAAGGGGCTATTGGATGTAAAAGTAACCAGAATACACGTCCTGAGCTGGATGTCTCCTGATCCTACTTCTTTCGATTAAATTCAGTCCTGGCAAACAAATTGCTGTAAAAAAACTGTTCCATCATCCTGCCCTTCCTTCCTCCTTCCTTCCCCACCTCTACATGACTCCACCTCACAGGTTTAATCCCAGAGGCATCCCTGTTGGTACTTCTTAGTCAGCCTCTCTCTCTAGAAAAAGGAGGACAGTGGTGGGATCAGGGGGATGACAGGTGGAAGTAATGAGGAGACTGACTGGGTGACCTCTTCACTGGAAGAGGAGGAAAACTCTGGAAAATGTGCCCGGAGGGACAGCTCTTTGCAAGCATTTTAAATTCACCAGCTGTGTTGGTATTCCCTGTCTAGGAAATAAAAAATTAGAAGGGACTACTGTTTGACAGCACTTTTAATTCATCATGAAAAATGGACATCATGGTCCTCTCCCTTCTCCATCCTCTCTCCTGAAGGCATGGGATGGGCAGAGGCACGAAAACAACTAGCACAGTTTTATACCCCAGGCAAATCTACAACCTGAAAATGTAACACAGATTTCTACTTATTTCAAAGTACTTACTATTTAAATGCTTGTTGATATTTTCATTTGTATTTTCTCCTCTGATATTCAAAGATCTTGAGGAAGACTTCTCAGAAATTTACCAGAAATAGATCTGGAAGGAGGGGGATGTTGTTAGCACTCAATTTGGCTGAGTGTCCTTAAAATGACAATGTTAAGTTTGCATAAGAATTTACAATAGTATGTCCCACATCAGAACATAGTTTTCGTTCAGTTACCTAAAGAAATGTTCAGCTAGGCATGATGAGAATCCTGCCTGAACTCAGTTAGACAGCAATAATAAATAGAATTAGTAGTATTACAAATTTAGCAGCATGACACAGATTGGCATATATTAAACCTATTTATATAATCTGCAAATAACTTCATAAATCTTCAAAGGAAGCTTTCATGTCCTTCATTTTATAAACCTGCTTTCTGCATTGCATCGGTACTTCCAGGGAGATTTTTGTAAGCAGTGTTCCCAGCTATACGGTTAGTTATATAGATAGACAGCTTTAAGGCATTTCTAGAAATATGTTGTTGCATCCTGGACACCTTACAGGGTGTTTTTTAGAAGCCAGGAAGGAGTTAGCTGTAGCAAGTTCATACTGTTGTGCACTTCATAGATCATTTTTTTATGCGCCATCATGCACATAATTTCCCACATGCATCACCCGTGTCATACTGTATACAGTCCATTAGCACCTAATCATATGATTCAGTGTAAGGCATTAGATGCTCCCTTCTCTTGCCTTCCTATTTGCTAAGAAAAATGCATCTGTGCTGTTGAAAATGCTAGAAGAAGCAAACTCTATTTATTATTGCTAATTAATTTGAATATCTGCAAGCATGTATGTGTAAGGCACTGACTGAGTACAAGGTTGATTCTTTGAAAGTATATCGTGGTATCAAAAGCTGAGCGTGCATGGGCAAGACAACTAATTTCTTAAAGTTATTAAATAACATCTCTATCTAAACAGAAATGCTCCACCAAATAACAAAACATTGGCAATAACAGAATGTTACTGGCACTGTCTATGTTTTTACATCTACTGGTACCCTGTACAGTTTAGAATCTTACAAGACACACTTGACTGGGAATCTCTATAGTTAATCAGAAAGGACTGGCCTCATATTTTGTTTGGGAATGTAGTCGTGAACCCAAAATAAACATTTATCAGAGAAACGGGAAATAAGTCTGCAAATGTAGTTTTGTACTATATAGGAATGAAATTAAATTTAAAATACTGAAACTGGTCATGAACTGATGGAAGAATTTCACTGCTTGATTCTTGTACTGATCTCGGTCCCTCTGTGATTCAGTTGAACATATTTTTTAGAACTAAAACTCTTCTACTAAGAATCTAAACTTCTTGATTACTTCCTCTGTGTTTCTAGGGAAATGAATAAACGTCTTACAGAGGAGCAAGCGAAGAAAACCTATGATCGAGCAATTAAATTAGAACAAGAATTTGGAGAATATTTTACAGGTATGTTTTTATTAAAAACATATTTTTTTTCCCCAGCGTATAGTCCTTTATCGCAAAACAACTAGATCAGCTCTGTCTCTGGCCTAGACGCAGTATAGCGCGCCCAGTAAGGACTTTTAGCTTGACACTATTGTTTCCCTGAAATTCAAGGGAAGTTGAGACATTCAACTCCTCTGAAGTTTTATGCCCTGAAGGAATAGTTTTGCTTTAATTTTATTCCCTCCCTGACCCAAAACTGCTTTTAATGAAGTCGTTAAAAAGTTGCATCACTGCATTTGTACAGACCAAAGTATTCCTCACTAGCTCAAGGCAAGAGGTCAAGCTATAGATAATGGGTTGAGAAAGGTGTCTTCTTCCTGACATGGAAAAGAGCAAGATTTAAGACTTGCTCTGGGCCTCAGCGCTTCCTTTGGGTGGGTTTAGGCAGTTCCCTACTGGTATTTGTGGATAACACTCAGAAGTCCCCAGCTGCCCCTCCACATGCTGACAGCGTGCACAGCCTGAACTGCACTTACGGATTTCTGCTGAGGGGACAAGGAATTTAAGAGTATATAGACATCATGCTTGGTGTTGCAGTTGCTTTATCTTCTGTCAGTTTGGGCCTGATCTAGTTAACTTTTGCAGCCAAGAGTGAGCTTATGATAACTAGGTCAGGAAAAGAATAGACAGTAAATTTGCTGGTCTCGCTGTTGAAGTAGCTTCTAAATCAAATGAAATGTAAAGTTTGATTGGCAACAGTGGGAATCTACCATGCTGCCCTCCTATGGGATAGAGCTGTCCGTTCTCTAAACTAACCTGTCTCAGTCATCTCACTACAAGCAGTGGGACGGGCCTCTGTCACAGGACGGTGCCACTGGTTTGAACTTAGTTGCTGTCTGCTGAGTGTCTTTTCCATAATCAACATGATGACAGTGTCCTAATATTCCTTCTCATTTCATCACTATTTATGAGTACACTGAAGATTTGCTGAAACTGGATGCTGTAGAATATATCAATTAAAAGAAATATTTATATGTTTTCTTACTGCAGCTATTGTCCAAGGAGATAGCTTAGAAGATATATATAATCAATGCAAACTTGTAATTGAAGAACAATCTGGGCCTTTCATCTGGATTCCTTCAAAGGAAAAATTATAAATTAGCCACCGCACCTCTGATTACGACGGGAGAATATTTAGAAGAAAACTATAATATACTATTTGGAGGCTTTCCTGTTTTTGTTGCATTTATGTTCTTTGCAGTCAATGTGAATTTTGATGAATGTACAACACAAAGTGTTTGAAGCCATGAAGGACACTGATGGGTCAAAGGGTAGGAACAAAAAGACTTCTACCATACAAAGCAAATCTGTTGTGTGCTCAGAGCACCAGTTGTAGGCATAAACTTTTGACATGGAGACCCTCTGTCAAGGGGAGCTAGCCACCTCCTGTGCCCATGCGGACATTTTGATCGATTTCAATGGCTGAGCTCAGTGTGTTGATTGCTTTAAAGAGAAGTTCCCAGCTCTTGAACCTCATATAGGGCTTGATCCTGCAAGGCGCTCAGCACTTGACCCCAATTCCTACACATGAGTAGCCTGTTGACTTGGAGTCACTTGTGATCCTTCACTACGCCGTTCAGCCCCACCAGTTCCAGTAGGACTATTCATGTGCTCAAAGCTAAGCACAGGCTTAAGCGTTTTGCTAGACCAGGGCCACATGCACCTTGCAAAATCAAGCTCAGAGTCCTCGGTCCACTTCCTACTGAAGTCACTGGTAGGACGCTCTTTGACTTGACTGGGAGGTGGGTCCTATTCTAAGCTTGTCATTGCACATTTGTAGTTGGTACACCTCGACTTTGGTAACTATGCACATCTTTTGATTTCTGAAACCAAGTCAAGCGTTTCTTTTCTTCCCCTTTGGAAACACTATTGCATCAGGAACTAATAACAATATAGTTTCTTTTAATGGAGTCTGGGGTGGGAGAGGATGGAAGCATTTCACATCACACACACCTGCACACAAACACATTCCCATGCAGACACACACATGTATGAGGATTCACAGCACCTATGTTGACAAGGAGGGATACAACTGGGAAAAGCTTTAAAACTTTTGATTGTCTATTTTATCATTTATATTGATAGAAGGCACTTAAAGATGGAATAATTTATAAAAATAAAAATATATTGATGTATAGAAACTAATTTCTATAGGTAAAAAATGTTTTTGTGAGATATTTTGTAAAGATTAATTAATTGAAAGATTAAATATTTACACCCTTGTGTGACTGTAAAATGTAAAGAGGACCATCAAGTTGCATTATCCTTTTTCCATAAAAGATTCTCTATTATTAATAACAAGCAAGATAATTTCTTAAATTGTAGTTGTCAGCTTGTTTTTCTCTCAATTTAATCCTCTCCCTTGCCTCTATTTAATCATGATGAACTCCTGTGGAAAGATCTCTTGAACTGACTGCCCTATAGGACCTTTTCTGAACACAAAAGGATAATGCATTTTTAAATGGAAATGGATGATTTTTCAGAAGCAAAATATCAGCACTTGAATGCCGTTAATAATTTTTCTCTTGGAGGGAGTTACACTTCACCCCCAAATGTTTTATGATTCTTCCTGTTTCTTTAAAGGAAATACTAAAAGCGTTTGATCTTTCCTCTCTTTTTAGGCAGGCAGGTCACCAACTAACTTGTATCTTCATTCATTTCACAGTCAACAAGGGTCTTAAAAGCAAAAACTGAGGCAATGGACATTTGTGAGGGATTTGGGGAAAGTCTGTGGAGCTGCAGTTTAGAGCGCACGGAAGGGGAGAGGGAGGTGGATTTTTTTTTTCTCATTTCACATTGCCCTTCCTTTGTATACTGACACCATTCTTCACTCTGACACACAAGGGGACAACTGCAAGAGATATTACGATAGTAAACTGAATTGCCTTTGCTGCTGCTGGACCAAGTTATATAGAAAACCCACACTCTCCTGCCTGCTGCGCCGCAGGAGTCCGATGCTTATTAGCTGGTGGCTACAGCAACCTTCGTGTTTAAGGACGTTTTAAGGGCAAATGCTAAATAGACTCCTCAGTTACTTGTCTATTTGAAGCTTACGTTTCTACACCCTGTCCAGCTGACAGGTAGATCCAGCCACCCTCCGCAGACGGCGCGACTAGCTGGATGTTTGCAATATAGCCACCAGCAGTGAGGGTTAAAATACGGGCATTTTAGTGGCCCTGAGGTGGCCTCTCACTTACTGCCCTACTATGGTAACTTTGAGAAGTTCACGCTTCTTTTACGACTATTTTTCTTGCCTGGCCAGCGCAGATTTATAAACAAGGGTTTCAGTTAAGTCTCCTAAAGAGCTTTGTAACCAGAAGGGCTAGAATCTTTTTTTTTTTTTTTTTTTAACAAAATATAAATGAATGAAAGCTTAGATTTTGGATAATTCTGCAGAAATCCACAGAGTGACCCCAGATCTTTGGAAGCCATGGATTTTTTCCATGCTGGCAAAGTACTATTGCCCCAGCTTGGGAAATAGCCCACCAGACCTGAAAAAACCAAGTATCCTAAAGCAGGAACTTCATTCGAATTTTCAGTTCTGTTTTTAAGCAATCAATCACATCTGCTTCTTTGTTTCTTAGTTCAGCATGCAGCCTTTTACAGCACTATCCTACTAGTAACTGTTTTGCTTTGTCATGTGCTGTGCTTTACGGTGAACAGTAACACTATGGCTGAGTACAATCAATTTTTCCATCAGTCCTTGGTTACTGTAGTAACATTATTTATTTTTCCCTGTCTGTTGTTTGTGCTTCCAGTTTAGAGTTGCCATTGCACTTCTTTTTGTTTGGTTGGTTTTTTAAATAAAACATATATTTAAAAACAATTCGCCAAGAGAAGCAGTAAGAGGTCTTATTTCCCTTTAGAACTTGTACTCCCATTTGTTTTGTGCGTTGACATTTTGCGTTTCATGTTTCAGCATCCTCAGAGCTGCAGTTCATTTTTGCATTGCAGCTGTTCAGATCATACTGGGTGGTAGTGTGAGGAGGAAGAGAAACATAAGATTCATGCAAAATTACATCTGGTGCAAAAAAAAAAAAAAATCCAAACTCACAACCCACAGCAACTGGCACCTGAAACAATATTGGTGCTAACACAGCTTAGCATAATCAGATTCCTTTTCTGTCCATGTAAAAGACTTGCAAGCATCTAAACATAAGACAAATGCAAATGCTGGACCCTTTAGGAAAAGTGCCAGATCACACCCCTGGTGCTATTTCTCATGTTCTGGCACAGTGTGTAGCACCGTAGGGTCTAAGCAGAACCAATATTATCACAGCTTTTTGTCCACCCATGAATGATCACAATGACATCTCGCTAGCTTCGTGCAGATGTGCAATATTATGACCTATTTATTTCTCCTTGCCACAAAACATCTTCCATGCACTGACTCATTGAGAGCTTGCTAACAGGGCTCAGAGAAACGGCACTCTTTACTGGTCTGGCAGTCTGACCATCAACCAGTGAAAGAGCCTCTTTCTTGCTTAATTCCCCCTTCCTACAGAGGTACCCTGTCCATGCTAGCGCTTTGTCATTTCTTTGGTAGTAAAGGATGTTTCTAGATAAATATTCTGTGATGTAATTGTGTTTGTAGCTAGCATGGTTTGATGCTCCGGTGTGGATAGGGTCCTAGGAACCACCCTGTGAAAGTCAAGGGTAAGAAATCTCTCCATTGCACTGAAATTTCAAATCCTCATCCTGGAGAGCAGTGTTGAAACTGAGCTAATAACCACTACGAGCCAGCGACAGTGTCCTAGTTATACAACGTCCGCCTACCTATTTACATTACTTTTCTATGGAGAAATTGTTGGTGTTACACCTTCACTGTTACTTGCTCATCACCTCTCAGTCAAATTCTGGTTTTACTTTGGTATTCTTGTTATTTTTTTTTCAAATTGTATCCCTGACCAGATTCAGTGAGTGGCAACACATGAAGGTATTTGTAGGAAAAACAGTGTTAATGAAAAAAAGTCTCAATCTTCCTTTTAAGCTGCAGATTTAAAGCCATAATATCTGCCGTGTTCACAGAAAATGGTCTTTTATCCTTTGCAGCTTTTAATCTCAGCATTTTTTCTCTTGAGCATTCTGTCTGCCATGTTATGCATGCGGTTCACTGTGCAACTGCATCCATGTGCTCAAGCCCATGCCTTGGTGGCATAAATGTATTTCCTATTCCATTACAAATCAGACATCTCGTCAAGTAGTTCAGAAGTAAAAATGAGGTTGCCATTATGTTAAAAAAAAAGGTTCCCATTTTAGGGCTCAAATCAGCATCAAAGCTAATAGCAAATAACATCTAAAATCTATTCAGCAGATAGCTAGCCTAGATCCTCAGCTGGTGTAAATCATGGTCACTCCATTGATTTCACAGAATCATAGCATCATAGCATTATAGAAGGGTTCGGGTTGGAAGGGACTTTTAAAGGTCATCTAGTCCAACCCTCCTGCAATGATCAGCGACATCAGTGGAGTCCATCCCATTTACACCGCCTGAAGTTACACGTCTGTCCTCCCCGTTACACCAATTTTTTAGCATTGCTGTAAAACACCAAGGCCACATGATTAAACAGCAGCTCAGCACTTCCTATCATTATTTACAGCTTATATTCCTTTAGCACTCAGAGGGCCAAGTCATGGACCAAGATCCTTTTGTGGTAGGTGCTGTGAAATTGCTGAACAAAAAGACACCCTATGGGCCAAATGCTGTGGTCAGATTTTCAGAAGGCTTCAGTCCCACTGACATCTCACCAAGAGCAATAGGAACCACTACCCCGTTGGCCCTTTTGAGACTCTGTCTAAGGCGAGGAGCGTGAGAGGCGATCTATCATCCCTCACACCGCGTTAGCAGCTTACGCCATCTGGCCCTGACCTACAGCGCAGGCAACTTGCCCTGGTGTGAAACAGCATTTCTGGGGATGGGCAGCAGCCAGCATCCTAGGCAAGATCGTCTGGGCTAAAAAAAAAAAAAAAAAAAAAAAAAAAAAAAAAAAAAAAGAAAAAAAAAGAAAAAAAAAGGCAACACTGTTGGCTCTTAGTGGAATAGTAACCTTTTAATTTGTGTTCCTAAATTTAAATTGGCCAGTGCGAATTTCCGAGT